GGCCTTAAGATAACCCACGAGACCTCGAAGACGGCCCGAGAGGGCTCCACGAGGCCCTCCAGGAGAGCCTGAGCAGGCAAAAGCCACAGATTGTCCGTAGTCAGGACTTTGAGGCTCTCGCCTGTTTGGCCTTGCGAGGCAAACTCGTCCTGCCGGTCGAGCACTTGCTCTGCACCCTGCTCGGTGACCGAGTCCGCCTGCGATCCCCTCACCCGCCGACTCTGGGCGGTCGGCCTCGTTCCCTCTCCCCCTCCGCGACCGCCCTCTTCCTCTCCTGCTGCCCTTGCGCCCCGCGCCCCGCGCGCCCCGCCCGTACCGACCCCCGCGCCTGCGTCCTCCGGCGCTGCCGATGAAAGAAATGGGGCTTGCGGCCGCCCAGGATAGCTCCAAGACGGCCCAAGAAGCCCCCAGGAGGCCCCAAGAGGCCCCAAGAAGACATCCAAGAGGCCCCCAAGAGACCCGCAAGAGGCACCCAAGAGGCCCCAAGACGACCCCAAGAGGCTCGCAAGGCGCTAAGAAAAGCCAGCAAGAGCCGCCAGGAGGCCCCCAAGACGCCACAAGAAGCCTCCAAGAGACCCCGAAAGACGTCCCAAGACACCGAGAGGCACCCAAGAAGCCTCTGCCCGCGGGCGCTCCCCGAGGCTCTCCGAATGATGCCACGCTCCCCCGCTAAGAGCGGCTCTCCATGGCATCCGTCCTGAAATGGGTTGGTGGGGATATTTTTGTTGATCGCGACCGCGGCGAGAAGTTCGGGCGGCGTAAAGGTACGAAGCCCAGATGCATCGGCCTAAATGAGCGCACAGGAGGAGGGAGGCGAACAGAGGAAGAGAACGAACGCGGAAGAGAGAAGACCAAGCGGGAAGGGCAAACAGCAGGCGAGCCTCGCTGCCGCCCACAAGACGGCGCACACCTAGAAGAACGTGTGTGAATTCAAACTCCTTCCTGCTACGCGGCTACCCAGGCACGGCGGCGGGGCTTGCCGTAGGCAACCCATAGTCCAGACACACGTCCAACGTCCACGCGGACGCGGCGGTGGACAGCCACTCCCACCCGCGGTCCGGGCCTGCGCGAGGCAGCTCCGACACCAGCAGGCGCAGCGGCTTCGGGTCCCGCAGCTCCGCCTCCGGGCAGTACGTCCCGTCCTACAGGCGGCCCGGATTGGTAGGTCGACCCTGCCAGATCAAGGGTACCCTCGTGTCCTATGTCTCGCGACCAATGCCTCCTACGTTACTATGGCAATGTGGCCCTCGGAAGGGTCTTGTGTCCTCTCGCGCGTCCTGTCCAATCAAGTCCTCTCGCGCGTCCTGTCCAATCAAGTCCGACTGTAAGGGTTCTCCCAAATGGGATCCTAGCAGGTGGGGTCGGAGGATCGCGCCGCATCGCCGAAACGTCGCAGGTGCATAGGCGATGTACCGGCGACGCTGGCGATACATCGGTGCCGTCGTCCTGGAGAAACTCGCGCCCCACATCGAGCTGCATTCCCGATGCAAAGGCGATGAGGCGCGACCCTGCCACCTCATCTTCTCGGACCCCACCTGGGAGGCCTGGTTTAGCCTGCGGGGAACGGGGCCTGAGGGAAACGGGTCCTGGACCCCGAGACCTTCCCCCGGGACGAGATCTTCATCCGGAGTCGTTTTCGGACAGTCCCGTCCCGGAGCCCGTGGAGGGCCCCGAGGGCCCGAGGGCCCGGCAGCGAAGCTCAGGACCCGTTTCCCTCGGGATCCGCTTCCCCCGCAACCACTGGGACCGAGGGCTCCAGGGCTCCAGGGGTGGAGTGATCGAGGGATCGAGGGATCGAGAGCCGAGGGCTCGAGGCTCCAACTTTGGGGGCGTGGTGCCCACCTCTTCTGCTCGGACCCCACCTGAGCGACGGAAAGGCAGGAGCCTTACGCCAGGTGGCATAGCAACCCTACGCAGTAGCTTACGCGGGCCGCCAGCGCGGCATGCCAGTGGAGCCGAGGGCGCTTGCGCGCTGCCTGACGCGGGCAGCTTACGCGCCAATGTCGGCGCAAACGACCCCGCTTTCTGCGTCGCTCACCTGGGAGGCCTGGTGTCCTCCACAAAATACGGGGCCGCGCAGCTGATCCGCAGGGTCTCCACGGGCTCCTCCTCCAGCCGCGCCTCCAAGGCGGCCGCTTGCCTCGGAGGACCCTGCGCGCGCGCGTCCCGCGCCCTCGGATCGGGCGCCGCCGCTGCCGCCGCGGGCGAGCGGGCCGCTCGGCCGACGGCGATGTTGTATTCGCCATCGTCGATCTGCTCGGCCCACGCGGGGCGGACCCACCAGACGCACGAGAAGTGGCCGCCGTACACGGCCGGCAGGATCCACTGGGCGATGCCGCCCGGGTCCTTTTGCATCTCGAAGTAGACGTCTGGCGGCGACTGGAAGATCGTCTCTGCGGGCAGAGTGGTCGATGCGGCAAGGTCGGGATGCGCGTCCAGGTGCACCATCGTCAGGTCGCTGAAGGGCAGCCAACGGCGTCGGATGGCATGATGGAGACACCTGGCTGGATACAATATTCTGACTGCGTCTGTCCTCACGAGATTAGCAAGGTTCTCGATAAAGTCGACCACCATGATTACGAGAAAGAGGCGGGGGGGGAAGACGAAAGAAGAAAGGGGAGGAGTGCGGGGAGGGAGGCGGCGGGAGGAGGGCGGGGATGGGGTGGGGAAGGGGCGGGGATGGGTGCGACGAGGGATGAGGGAGGAGGGAGGAGGGCGTGGGAAGAAGAGAGAAGGAGGGAAAGAGGGAGGGAGACGGGGAACGGAAAAAGAGAAAGGAAGCAGGAGGGAGGAAGGCTGAGGGGGCACGGACGGAGGAGGAAGGACGGAGAACGTGAACGCAAAAGCGGCAGCAGCAGCGACACAGTAGCATAAAAAAATGCTGCACAACCGTGATGGGGTTGGCCGATCCGTTGAAATCCGACGTTGTGGAAGAAAAGAAACGAAAAGAAACAACAACAACAACAACAACAACAACAACAACAACAACAACAACAACAACAACAACAACAACAACAACAACAACACTAACAACACTAACAACACTAACAACAACAACAACAACAACAACAACAACAACAACAACAACAACAACAACAACAACCATTTTAAGGCTGTACGCTCTTACTTGCCCGCGAGTCATTCAACACGTATACCCTACACCCTCGATACCCGCCCTCTTCGTCTTCGATCACACCCCTTTCGGGGGGATTATTTCTCTTTGCTGGGGCCGGCGGGCTTAGACGTACGGGCAAACCGGAACGGGCGGACAATCCTTCGGGGGCGTACATCTCTCTGCCCGCCATTGGAATTGGCGCGGGCCCTGCAAGAGGAGGAGGGGAAGAACGAGGGAGAGTGGGAGGAAGGGGAGGGGGAAGGACGAAGGAAGAGGGAAGATACCACGTTGTGAAGGCGTCCTTGGCGCGTGCGTGGTTCCTGAGCGCCGAAACGCAATTCCAGAATAATGTGTGAGGACGTCGCACGCGAGAGCGCAGTCCTGAGTACATTGTGAGGAAATCTCAAGCGGAAGCAGGGGCCCTGACTAAGTTGCGAGGAAGTCTCAAGCGGGAGCGCCGTTCCTCAGCAAATCGCACGGAAGTCTCAGGCGGGAGCGGGGGTCCTCACTAAATTGCGAGGAAGTCTCAAGCGGGAGCGCCGTTCCTGAGTCAATTGCGTGGAAATGTCAAGCAGGAGCGGGGGTCCTGAGAAAAATTTGAAGAAGTCTCAAGCGGGAGCGCCGTTCCCACGTAAATTGCACGGAAGTCTCAGGCGGGAACGGGGGTCTTGATTACATTGCGAGAAAGTCTCAGACGGGAGCGCCTTTCCTGAGTAAATTGCGCGGAAGTCTCAGGCGGGAGCGGGGGTCCTGAGTAAAAATCGAGGAAGTCTCAGGCGGGAGCCGTTGTTGTTGTAGCCCGGGGAGCAGGGGCACAGTTTGAGCAGGAAGACTTTCCTTAAGAAAAAACAAGGTGCGAGCCCCGGGGGTGGCACTTCAATCGAAAAAAAAACAATGTGCACCGGTGGGGGGATCAACAATAATTATTCTTCAAGAATGAGAATTCAACAACAACAACAACAACAACAACAACAACAACAACAACAACAACAATTACTAGCACGTGGGGACACTCCGTTCTCACCAGTGCCAGGGTTTTCATAGGAGGCGGGCAATACCCCCACTTTGTGGGGGGGCCGGTTCAAGCTCTACCAAATTTCCAAACGACTCTTCGCCACCACCCACACCCAGCTTCCCGCCCTATGACGTTCGGACACTTCACTTCGTGGCATGCGGACGACCGTGGCTACTATTCAGGGCCCCGCGGCCGACGACGACGGCGTGCGCGCGCGAAGAAAAAACGAATGTGTCCCGCATGGTATTATTTGACAGGGATGATGGCCCTGGCAGGTGCGCAACCGTTGTTGCAGAAGTTCGAAAAAGTTGCTCGCAAAAGCCCGTTTGACAGAAATGATTAAAAAGTGTTGGGTTTCCTACGAATCCGCAAGAGCGCGCGGGATGAAATTTTGACAATTTTGTTTTGAAAAACCATTGGTTTTTTGATGTTTTTATGTTAAAATCGCTACGAAAACTAAGGTTTTGGAAGGATTTCGTCTTGCGCGCGCGAATGTCCACTTTACCTTATTTTTTGCAAGGGATTCTTGAAGTTTGGTTATGTTAGAACAAGAAATGTCCACTTTAGCTTATTTTTTGCAAGGGAAAACCGATCGTAACAACACAACCGGATCCGGACTCCCCCGTTTTGCCTGAGACTTCCTCACGAAAATGATGAAAATGAGGCTGCGGCCTAGGCGCGGCGGGGGGGTCGTGCACCAGGGGCCCCAACAATAATTATTCTTTAGAAGTAATAATGTTCAACAACAATTACTAGCACGTGGGGACACTCCGTTCTCACCAGTGCCAGGGTTTTCATAGGAGGCGGGCAATACCCCCACTTTGTGGGGGGGCCGGTTCAAGCTCTACCAAATTTCCAAACGACTCTTCGCCACCACCCACACCCAGCTTCCCGCCCTATGACGTTCGGACACTTCACTTCGTGGCATGCGGACGACCGTGGCTACTATTCAGGGCCCCGCGGCCGACGACGACGGCGTGCGCGCGCGAAGAAAAAACGAATGTGTCCCGCATGGTATTATTTGACAGGGATGATGGCCCTGGCAGGTGCGCAACCGTTGTTGCAGAAGTTCGAAAAAGTTGCTCGCAAAAGCCCGTTTGACAGAAATGTTTAAAAAGTGTTGGGTTTCCTACGAATCCGCAAGAGCGCGCGGGATGAAATTTTGACAATTTTTTTTTGAAAAACCATTGGTTTTTTGATGTTTTTATGTTAAAATCGCTACGAAAACTAAGGTTTTGGAAGGATTTCGTCTTGCGCGCGCGAATGTCCACTTTACCTTATTTTTTGCAAGGGATTCTTGAAGTTTGGTTATGTTAGAACAAGAAATGTCAACTTTAGCTTATTTTTTGCAAGGGAAAACCGATCGTAACAACACAACCGGATCCGGACCAACCCGTTTTGCCTGAGACTTCCTCACGAAAATCATGAAAACGTGGCTGCGGCCTAGGCGCGGCGGGGGGGTCGCGCACCAGGGGTCCCAACAATAATTATTCTTAAAAAGAAATAATGTTCAACAACAACAACCACCACCACCACCACCACCACCACCACCACACAACAACAACAACAACAACAACAACAACAACAATCACTTTACCCGAACGCTCAGTGTTCTCACCAGTGCCAGGGTTTTCATGCGACGCCAGCCAATACCCCCACTTTGTGGGGGGGCAGTGCAAGCTCTACCAAATATCCACACGACTCTTCGCCACCACCCACACCCAGCTTCCCGCCCTATGACGTTCGGACACTTCACTTCGTGGCCTGCGGACGACCGTGGCTACTACACTGGCGTGGAGTACACACCCACAGAAGTTGTTAAGCCTACGTTCGTACACCCACAGAAGTTGTTAAGCCTTGTTAACCCACAGAAGTTGTTAAGCCTTCCACAGAACATCTGTTGCATATGATGCATATGGTACATGATACACATGATACACATGATACGTACTCACAAGATAGTTGATCACATCTTTAGGGCAAATTCCTGAGGGATGTGGGAATACACAAGAGAGAGAGGATATGGTTGTCCCGATGGTTGTCTCGATGGTTGTCCCGATGGTTGTCCTGATGGTTGTGGTTGTCCCGATCGTTGTCCCGATGATTGTCCCGATGGTTGTCCTGATGGTTGTGCTTGTCCCGATCGTTGTCCCGATGACTGTCCCGATGATTGTCCCGATGGTTGTCCCGATGGTTGTTCCGATGGTTGTCCCGATGGTTGTCCCGATGGTTGTGAGCGATGCCGGATCCTCACGCCCCGCGCGCGCGAAGAAAAAACGAATGTGTCCCGCATGGTATTATTTGACAGGGATGATGGCCCTGGCAGGTGCGCAACCGTTGTCGCAGAAGTTCGAAAAAGTTGCTCGCAAAAGCCCGTTTGACAGAAATGTTTAAAAAGTGTTGGGTTTCCTACGAATCCGCAAGAGCGCGCGGGATGAGATTTTGACATTTTTTTGTTGAAAAACCATTGGTTTTTTGATGTTTTTATGTTAAAATCGCTCCGAACACTAAGCTTTTGGAAGGATTTCGTCTTGCGCGCGCGAATGTCCACTTTACCTTATTTTTTGCAAGGGATTCTTGAAATTTGATTATATTAGAACAAGAAATGTCATTTTATAGTGTTTTTTGCAAGGGAAAGCGGGGGGGAACAAAACAACCGGATCTTGATCACATCGAATTACCTGAGGCTTCCTCACGAAAATGATGAAAATGCAGCTGCGGCCTAGGCGGCGCAGGGGGGCCGTGCACCAGGGGTCCCAACAATAATTATTCTTTAGAATTAATAATGTTCAACAACAGCAGCAACAACAGCAGCAACAACAACAACTACAACAGGAAACAAACAAAAACAAAAACAACAGCAACAAGAACAGCAACAACCATTATGTTAAGACTGTTCGCCCTTAGCTGCTCGAGTTTCCAATAACGCGTATTTCCCGAACCCTCGATACCCGCCCTCTTCGTCTTCGATCGAACCCCTTTGGGGGGGTATACCTTTCTTCCCTGCAGGCTGGGCCCCGGCAAGCGGCGGGGCGGCCGCGAACCGTCGGCCTGGCCAGCGGCAACGCTGATCGGCGGGGCGGCCGCGGACCGTCGACCCGACCCCAAGAGGGACGGACAGGGGACCGACCACGACGACGACGACGACGACGACGACGACGACGACGACGACGGCGACGACGACGGCGACGACGACGAGCGAAAGCGAGAGCGAACAAGGACACGACGTAGGCCACGAAGGGCGACAGCGGGGACACGAAGGGAGTGCGTATGGGGCCACGAAGAGCGCGAACGAGCGGGGGCCACGAAGGGTATACGTATACTGGGCCGCGGAGGGCAGGGACGGGGCCACTGAGGGCAGCAACGGGGC